TATAATTTGATATTCTCATGAAAAGCACACAACATAGTGGTAAACGATATGCGTTTGACGTTCATTCACGGGCTTTTGCATCTTTTCAACTGATATCAGAAGAAGAAACAATATCAAAAAGTGTGCAAAAGAAAGAATTTCTCAACATCAATATCAAATCCATACAGCAGTCGTGTACCGTGTACTAGCAACAAAAGCAAACAATTCCAATGACCCTAAGAGCAACTCCAATGGTACATCATTCCTCTATAAATGGAGTACCATTGGCTCCAATGGTGCAACTATAGCACCCTCTATATTAACCCTCTATATTTGAAGGGTGCTATAGTAACTCTCTATATTTGAAGGGTTTGGAGTAATATAGAGGGATCCCTCTATAATACTATTCATAGATTTTAATTCCAATTTTGCCTTCCCATCTCATTCGGGATGAGGTCGTCGTTGGTAGCTTCAACTTCTTCGTACCAACGCACCTTTCTGCTGGAAGAGAACTTTAACTTCTTAGACTTGCGGGGGGAGGTAGATCCGGACGAGGACGAAAGATATTCCTCGAACTTGGTTTGATCGAACTCGTATTCGACCTCCTCCACGACCGGGATTGAGATCCGCGGCTGCGACGCATCGATCTCGTTGGCGAGATCGTCGTTTTAAATAAAAATTATATCATTGAAATTGTCTTGCCGAAACCTTCAAAATGAGCCTAATATTTAAACTTTTAATATTAATTTCAAATTTATCATTATGAAATGTTGAAGTACAGAGAATTTAAAATACATCAAGCTTAAAAAAATTACATCATTCTATTACCATGTCTTTGCCATAAATGTTCAATGAGTGCATTCCGAAGTTCAAAGTAAGCCTCTCGATCTTGAATTTTCCTATGTCGAGCGAGGAATCTTCTTAATCTTTCATCGTCATTGTCATCCATCTCGTCAGCATTTGAAGGTTGAGTTGAATCAACATTATCTAGTTCTTCTTCACATTCATCCTCCACAATCATATTGTGTAGTATTACACAAGCAGTCATGATGTCATGTAGCACCCGTTTATCCCAAAACCGTGCTGATCCTTTGATGATGGCAAAGCGTATTTGAAGTACTCCAAATGCCCGCTCCACATCCTTTCGATATCCTTCTTGCATGACTGCAAAGTACTGCTTCTTTGGTCCTTGGGGTTGGGATATAGTTTGCACAAGAGTCGACCATTTAGGATATATTCCATCGGCCAAATAGTAACTTGTATCATAATCTTTTCCTAATATAGTGTAATTAGCCGGAGAAGCAGTACCCTGTGCAAGTTTATCAAATAAATTTGATGATTGTAACACATTAATATCATTGTTGGATCCTGGCAATCCAAAATAAGCATGCCATATCCATAAATCATATGACGCTACTGCTTCTAAAATAATTGTTGGCTTTCCTTGACGTCCTGAGTATTGTCCTGCCCAAGCAGTTGGACAGTTTTTCCATTTCCAGTGCATACAATCTAAACTACCTAACATTCCTGGGAACCCTCTCTCTTCACCTTTCTTTAGCAAACGTGTAATGTCGCCCGTAGTAGGGTGCCTTAGGTATTCTTCTCCAAAAACCTCTATAACAGCTCGACAAAATCTCTTCAGACATTCTATTGTTGTTGACTCACCAATCCTAATATATTCATCGGTTGCATCTGCCGATGTTCCATATACTAGCATACGGTGTGCAGCTGTTACTTTTTGCAAGGTAGATAAACCTAATTTACCGGTTGCATCTCTCTTCTGTATGAAGAAGTTGTCATGATCTGCTACTCTATTAACAATGCGAATGAATAGATTCCTACGACATCAGAATCTTCTACGAAAAATAGATTCTCCATATGTGGGAGTCTCAGAAAAGTAATCATTCCAAAGTCTAGAGTTACCTTCTTCTCTTTCGCGATAAGAAAAAGTTAGATCAACGAGCTGTTACAATTAAAACAGCGCAATCAACTATTAGCTCAACAACGTGCGCAATTTCATCTTGAGCGTGATCGTGAGGATAGAGAAATATTATCAATTGATTTGAGTAAGATTGTTGATGTAAGGGAACGTGCATTTTTTGAGAGGAAAAAACAACAAATCATTAGCAGAAATAGCGGTGATTATCAATTTGATAGTTCAACTCATGTTTTAGGAGGAACTGGATATTAGGGTCCGTCAGGGTATCAGTACGGCACCGGTAGCTATGGAAATGACCTACCGGAATTTTAGACTGTTGTTATCGTATCTTACTTATATAATGTAATTTTGTATTTCTAAATGTAGTTCCTTTGGGGCGGGTTATATAGATCCCCACGTATTTATTTTATTAACGAATATTTTTATTTTATTCTATTAAAATAAACTAATTTAAAAACGAATCTAAAAATATTCAATATTAATCTCATTTAAAATGTTTCGGCGAGACGGTTCTAAAGGTATAATTTTTGTACAAAAAATGATAAGTTTTAATTATTTTATTTACATCATTAGTTTGTTAATGATAGATTAATTCATATAAATATAAAGTTTTAATTATTTTATTTACATCATTAGTTTGTTAATGATAGATTAATTCATATAAATATAGAGTATATCATTGGAGCACAACTTTTACAAACCCTCTATATTTGAGGAATCTTAAAGAATATTCTCTTCAAACCCTCTAAATATAGAGTATACCATTGGAGATGCTCTAAGAGCAAGTCCAGCAAGCTCTGAACTCGGCTCTCAAGGCTGACATGACGATGGATGTTGCCAACCCCCCCTCCAGCAAGCTCTGAAGGACTCTCAAGCCCCTCTCCTTGGGCCGACGTGGCGGTGGAGAAGTTCGGAGCTCCCAAGCGCTCCACAAATTTGTGGAGCGCTTCGGAGCTCCGAACTGGAAAGATTTTACAAAAAACCCCCCTCCAAACTTCGGTTGAGATGCTGGCGTTCGGAGCGGAGACTGGGTGGGTGGCTTGGAGTGGAGATGATGGTGGCGAAGAGTTCGACGACTGGCCTCCGCAAGCCGACGCCGTCGCCGCCGTCGATGGAGAGGATTTGGGGTTGGGGTTGGGTCTGTCGAAGGGGTGGGGTTGGGGTTCAGTTTGGACGAAGGGGTGGGGTTTGGGTCTGTCGAAGTTGAGATGAAGAGGGGTTTTTGGATTTTTTTTTTTTATTGGTTGCGAATTTTGAGGTGAAAATGTTGATGAAGTTGAGGTGAGCGAAAATGTACCGTTGAATAGGGGAAAATGCACCGTTGAAGATGATGTTGATCAAAGTTTTTTGAGAGGAAAATGTACCGTTGAAGAGAAAAAATCATCAAAATGTGCCGTTGAAGACTAGATGAAGAATCCAGCCGTTAAAAAATTTAGTTGTTGGGATTAAAAAAATAGCATGAACAGTAAAAAAACATCTATAAATTCATTTCACTTCAACACAAAAATCATTCCACACAACTCTCTCATAAAAAAAACTCTATATTTCTCTATCAAATTACAAATCTCATGGATCCCTCACAAAACTATTATTCGTAACTCCTTACCGGTGAAGAATCGACCTTATACCCGTCCTTCTATACAGAAGTCGTAGAAGAAGGTAACTCAATCGAGTTCTCGCAATCAGCAACACAACAAGTGTCATCCCAAGAAACACCGACCACAAAGAAGAAGAAGGCTTACACGCGGTCCGAAAATTGGACTGTCCACGAGGATAAGCTTCTTGTGTCTGCTTGGCTGAACACGAGCCAAGACGCCATCCAAGGTACGGGGCAATACAAAGATAAGTTTTGGCACAGAGCTAACAACTACTTTATCCAATACTCTGTCGATCCAACGAGCCACACACCAAACCAAATGATGCATCGTTGGTCAACGATTCAACTGTCCGTCAACAAGTTCTGCGGGTGTGTTGCTCAGATTGAAGGAAGACAAAGATCTGGTACGGGAATTATTGACCAGGTAAATATTTAACTTATATGTTTTTATATCACCAAACAATTCCATGCCAGCGACCCCCATCGAGTTGAACACCGACTCGGATGATGTGTTAGTAAGGCCTGAAGGGAGGAAAACAGCAAAGCTCAAGAGGAAACAAAATGTGGAAAACTCTGGATCCGCTACGTCCATCATGGGAGAGGCATTCGCGTGGATGAAGGAAACCACAAATTAAAAAATAGAGCTAAAACAAAAAAAACAAGATGACGATATCATGAAGATGGATCTCTCAACACTCAATCCAGTTCAACGATAATACTTTGAAATACGTCAGGCAGAGATATTGGAGAGGTGGATGTCTAAGGGTTCTTCCTAATTATCATATATTATATTGTATTAGATTTATGATTGTACTCGCATCGCATCCTAATTAGTTCTTTCTAATTATCATATATTATATTGTATTAGATTTATGATTGTACTCGCATCGCATCCTAATTAGTTCTTCCTAATTATCTTGTATTAGATTTATGATTCTACTTGAAGTTGAAAATTTTGGCATTTAATGAAAACTACTTTATTGAAAAGAGAATTGGCGTAGTACAACTCGAACTTCTTTGCTGAAATTACATTAGACATAAAGAAACTTAATCCTCGTCGATGGATCCCTTGAGCTGCCACAGATGCTCGATCAAATCATTCTTTAGTGATTTGTGTGTTTGCGTGTTCCTGATCCGATGATGATTTTGGACGAACTCAGTTAGAGGCACTGTAATAATCCATTTTTTTAGATACAAGTTAATTAATTTGGTTAAATATACAAGGTCTTATAAGGGAGGCCCATATTAGTAAGCCCACGTGATATGGAGGAAAAAAAAAACAAAGGCAACAAATCATTTTCTTTAAGGCCCATTGGTGTTAAGCTAGCCTAGAAAAGCCCAAACAAAACACATCTTTTCCCTTTTCTTATCCAACTCCATCTCCTTCCCCTTATCCACTCACGGTTTCTGAGATTTTTTTTTCACTCTCCATAATTTCAACCACCCCAAATCCTCCTCTACCTAAATCCCTCAAATCCTGGTAAAATCCTTAACTAACCTTATCTCTACTCAACCATCTTCTTTATAAATCAATCTCATCCCCTCCCCATCTCGGTACCAAAACCCTGCAGAGAAAAAAAAACACAGAGAAGAGAGGGAACATTGACTGGAATTTTAGGAGGGGTGGAGAAGGAGCTTGTTTAGGTTTAACTTTCGGAGTTTCTCTCAAATTTCGGCAAGCATTTTTATCTTTTAACTCTTTTATTTTTCTTGATCGTCTTATAGTTCATAATCGACAAGTAGATTTTCTATTTTTATTGTCCTCAAATATTTTTGGAACTTCACATTTAATTCTCTGTGTGCTTGGTAACTATTGCTACATTTTCCTGCACTCTTGAGCATTTCTGGAAGCAACCTAATTTATCTTGAGTCTCTTAAATAATAAGTAGCAGCTTTAAATCAAGTCTGCTGCTCTTGGTTGCTTAAACCATGAGATTCGCATTCCCAGAATTGATTTACTCCTATTACAAGTCCTAGCTGTTTCGGAATTATAGTTTGCCCAGCATTTTGGAAACAATTTTTGTGGAACAACAAGGCTCTGAAAGGAGGTACAATTCTTTTATGTGGATACGTAAACTTACCGTGGCTAGCAAATGGAACATATAGTTTTATGTCTTTAATCTCTCAACATCATCATCATCTTTTTGTCCACTGCCATAATCATTTGTTATTAAATAGAAGTAATCCAATTCACAGTAGGAACAACCCAACCAAATGGCATTTTCTTTCTATTTAATATGTTCCACTATACCTGTGAATGATTCCTTGTATGAATATATGTGTTACACCTCTTAAGGAAATGCACAAACATATTCATGCACGGCATCTAAATCAGGCCAGATGCTCGAGTTCTTTTTTTTATCTGAATAATCATGTGCATAATTCTTCAACACTTGGGGATGAACAAAATCTTATATCGAGGACTCGTGGATGAGTGATGTTACGAAATAAGTTGAGCTTAATTAAGTGGACAATGTGATTCTACTAGAGTAAACCAAATCCAAAAGATATGGACAACACGTGAGCTTCTGTGGTTTGAGTCATGGTTGGTTCTACATATGGTAAGGAGACAGAAGACACATAATTTTAACTTAGTGATTAGCCTAGGATCATTTATGTTCCAGGCCAATGGAGGAGAAAATGGATGGTGGGAACTTTTTATTGTTTTATCCTTTTAGTATGAAAATCACTAGCCTAGGATGTATTTTGGCACATCAACTTTTTTGTGCATATGAAACTTTCAAAATATGCAACCAGAAAGAAGAAATATCTCAAGTATTAACTATTATGTTAATCGAAACCGTGATTTCAAAATTCTTATCCGAGTATGACCGGCGTAGTTTTATGGTAGATGTTCCTCTGTTACGGATATAGCATGCCATCAGATATCGTATTGCATTTGACAAATTGTACAATTTCCTGTTGATCTTGTAGTCACCTTTACTAGGTGGGTTGTGCATAAATAGATATCCTATTAAGACATGCATCAGAAGCATGAACTGGTGACATTGACCATATGATACATGATTTATCAATTTGTACTTGTTATGAACTTACTGTGTTTGACATGTATGACTTTATGAAAGATTGTTGTTGATCATCTAGTTGTCATCTAATAGGTGAGACTGTGCATGAAGACGACTTCTGTTAAAAATATGATTTATAAGCGTGCTTTCATAGCATGGCTATGCTCTCGATATCGATATCCCGATATGAGATTTTTCCTTGGCTATTACTATTATAGCATCTGCTTTCATAGCATGGCTATGCTCCCGATATCGATATCCCGATATGAGATTTTTCCTTGGCTATTACTATTATAGCATCGACTAGACGATGCACCCATCTTGATTAGACATGTTCTGGGTCACGGTTATTATCATAGTTTTACAGAAGTCGTTCCACGGTAACTCTGTGGTTAGTGCACAATATTTCATGCACAGTCATTTAAAATTTAATCGACAAACATGGGGTTTAAAAAGGAAAATTAGACGAAGAATATAACATGTATATAAACGGGCATATGCGCATTCCTGATATCCTGAGTTATATATATACATGGGCCAAAGAGCCAATTCCTGACTTGAAGCCGTGTTCCCGGGACGGTTTACGGGGAACCGATTTATATACATGAAAATATTTCTTCTCTAATTCAAATAACATGTAAAATAAGAATAATGTGTTTATATGCTTTGTGATAGATTTTGGCATGCATAGCATGGCCTGGAGGAAGTATTGGTGATGTATATTTATATGGTTTGTTTATAGAATTTTGGAAGCTGATATTTAGAGATTTACAATTTGAGGTGTATGGTATATACGAGGGTTTCCTTGTTTGGATTATTCCCTCGACGTACTCATCTCGTGTTGTGAGTTTCTAAAGATTAACTCCTTTTAGTATTGGGTATAAGATATGTGCTTGAGAATGACCATGATTGATATCTACAATAGCAATTTCCCTCGTCATCTTTAATTGAGTTTCATCTTACTTTGGTTTATAAGATTAGCATTTTCTGCTATCACTGGAAAATTTAGAATTTATCTTTTCTTTATATCTACCACTTATACTTACATGCGCATAATTTTTCTCATTTTACATGCTTGCTGGGAGTTTTCTGACTCCCCTGGGGTTTGCATGCCCCAGACTCGGGAACTGTTCTTTCTTCGCAGGACCAAGAGTATTTTAAGGATTAAGACCAGCGACAGTGATCACTTTCTCTCCCTTCACTCTCTCAACTTCAGTTATTTAGATTTTCTTGTAAACACTTGTGGTACTCCAGACTAAGATGTAATTTCCTCTTTCCTACTTTGAATAGTTGTGGACATGTAAGGGAACTTGTCTTTTCAGAGATTTCTTTATTTATCTATTTTCTTTATTATCATAGTTACATGCTCTATGTAATAGTTTTTTTGACAATATAACGGTGTACAGGATGATCTAGAGGCGTGAATGTGACCATATGGTTACATTGCCGGCCGAGTCACGTCCCAAACTATCACGTTTTGGAACCGGGGCGTGACAGGCACCGTCTGCACATGAGAAGGTACAACGACTGGTATCGAATCATTAAAGTCGAAGTTGTTGTCCAATTGACAATCTCGTTCATCTTCAACGATCATGTTATGCATTATGATACAAGCTGTCATGATGTCTTTCATCACACTAGGTTTCCAGAAACATCCTGGTCCACGAACAATCGCAAATCGAGCTTGCAACACGTCAAAAGCTCGCTCAACATCTTTTCTTGCGCTCTCTTGTTGTTGAGCAAAGTATTTATGCTTGTTTCCTCGTGGTGCTGGAATAGTCTTCACTAATGTAGACCACTATGGGTAAATCCCGTCGGCGAGATAGTATCCCATATTGTACTCGTGGCCATTAACAGTATAGTTGCACGGTGAAGCTCTTCCCTCTGCAAGTTGTGCAAAAACCGGTGAACGATGTATCACATTGAGGTCATTGTGAGACCCCGGCAGTCCAAAGAAGGCATGACATATCCAAAGATCTTTGCTAGCTACGGCCTTCAAAATAATTGTAGGTTCATGAAAATGCCCAGTATACATACCTTGCCAGGCGGTTGGACAGTTCTTCCATACCTAGTGCATGCAGTCGATGCTCCCAAGCATACCAGGAAAACCTCGTTGTGAACCTTCCTCGAGCAGGCGTGCAATGTCTTCATTAGTCGGTGAACGAAGGTATTCCTCCCCAAAGATGTTGATAATCGATCGAACGAACCTCTTCACGCTCTCAAGCGACGTCCTTTTACCGATCCGAACGTAGTCGTCAACGGCGTCAGCGGATGCTCCATATGCGAGCATCCGCATAGCTGCAGTAATCTTTTGAAGGCTAGATAGTCCTAACTGTCCAGCACCATTCCTCTTTTGGATGAAGTACTTGTCATATTCGACGACAGCATCGTGGATTCGAAGGAATAACGAACGCGACATTCTGAATCTTCGACGAAAATAATGAAGAGGATATGTTGGTGTGTCAGCAAAATAATCTTGGAACAACCGATTGTGTCCTTCCAGTCGGTATCGATGGAGCACGATACGTCTTTTGTGTTGAACTGAAGTTGAACATTTCCCTTGTTCTTCTTCCTCGACGACAGCAGCTCCCATAAGAAAGAACGTCTTCATCATTTTATCATCGTTAGAACTAGATGAGCTAGACATTTTGTTCTGGGAGACGATGGGTTGAGGTGAGAAGACATCGAATTTTATAGGAATCAGTCGGTTGACGGTCAAAGTTTGCGATATCTCGAAGTTCGTGCCCAACCTCGAACTTTGAGAGCTACCTAGAAGACCGTGTGCATTCCCTCGAAGACCGCGGGTTACCTCGAAGACCGTGTGCGTTCCCTCGAAGACCGTGGGTTACCTCGAAGACCGTGTGCGTTCCCTCGAAAGCCGTAGGTTACCTCGAAGACCGTGTGCGCTCCCTCGAAGACCGTATCCAACGGTTAGAAATAAAATACAAGAGGTTTAAATATAATTAAAAGTAATAGGTAAAATATTAAAATAGAAGAGGGATTTTTTTGATATTGTTGGAGGTCCTAACTAGGAGCTTGTTGGAGCTCCATAAAATAAGGAGAGGCTCCCAAGGCCTATTTTTATAATTTTTTATACCAAAATGCTTGAGAGCTCTTGAGAGCTTGGTACTAGGACTCCCAACTGGGAGCTTGCTAGACTTGCTCTAAACACAAATTCCGTCTAAAAACACAATTTTTAACAAGTAGTCCATAAACTCATAACCCACGCCAAATCCAAATTTAACACAAAATTTTCAATTTTCAATTTTCAATTTTCAAAAAAAAAAAAACCCAAAACCTACCATCTCGTATTAGCAACAAAATCAGACAAATCCAATGACTAGAACCACGGAAATCTACTAAAAAGACAACATCCCCACAAAAATCAGAGCCCAAAACCAAATTAAACCCAAAAAATTCAAATTTCAAAAGAGACCGCAAAAAAAATTTACCACTAAAGGCCAGTCCGTAGCAAGCAACAACACAAGTTTGAATCACGGTGTTCTCCTGCCTCGTGAAGGCCCTCCCCCCAAACCCTAATTTCTCAGCCACCCCAGTCCAGCTCTTCACCATAAAAAACCCTAGAAGCCCCGCCGCCACGTTCAGCGACGGAATCACCCCAACAGTAAGATTCAGCTTGTGAGTTATTATACAAAATAGGGATCCCAGTACAGCGCTCACGACCAAACCCCTGATCGTGATCTGCTCTCTCCAGTGTGGAATTGGGATCGAATCCTCCTGCTCCTCCTCTTTGGGAGCGACGATCAGAGGGTCGTTGATCTCAGTTCCCATTGGGGAATCAGGGTTAGGGTTTGGGTTTGATTTTTTTTTTTCCCCTTTTTTGTTGAAGAGAGGGGGACAATAGGGAAGAGGAGGGAGAAGATAAATAAGAGGGTTGCTGTTGGCGGCACGCTATGAGTAACCGTTCGAATCTCTGGTTCTTACGGCTGTGTGCTGGGTTCTGAGGACACGTGGCGAGTTTTGATTAGCGTGATGGTTGGTGACGGCAGGGGATGCTTGTTTTAAATTCTATAATTTAAGGATATGGATTTTTATCATGGGATTTGAAATCCATAGATTTTGTTTAACATGAGTTAGGATTTTTAAAACTTTGTTTATTTCATCAATATTTTTAGATTTGGAATGTTATAATTTGTAAGTTCTTGTTTGTTTTAAACTCAAATTGTAACATTACAAATTTTAGAATTTGAAATCCATAGTTGTAACAAACAAGTTTTAGGATTACCAAAATAATAATTGATGAAAATAAGAACCTTTGGTGAGCTTACCTCCCACAAATAAACAAATACAATTGTATTCAATTGGGGTAAGCATACTCATTCAAACCCACAACAAACAAGCAAGCTCACAAGCTCAGATTGGAATTAAAACCCACAACAAACCAATGCTACAAGCAAGCCATCAAAGAATCATCGCACATGAAACAAAAAATGAAACAAACCAAACAAGTAATCATACTTTTCAGGCTCGTATAACCAGCAAAAAATGAAACAAACCATCAAAGAATAATCGCACCTAAAATCAAAGTATGCAAGAATGAAATATGATGCAAGTAAGCTCATATAATCATCCAAGTATGCAAACAAACTCATATAACTAGCATTAGGCAGTCGCAAGTAAGCTCAGACTAGCTGCAAAAAATGAAACAAAATCTGTCCACACACAAGCGAGTTGGACCGACGTATACAAGCAGCTCAGGTTGGACTTAAAAACCATAACACACCAACAAGTAACCATACTTTTCAGGCTCATATAACCAGCAATGTAAGCAGCCACAAGTAAGCTCAGAGCAGTTGCAAAAACTGAAACAAAACCCTCCTAAATTCAAAGCAAGTAGCTCATATAATCAAGGCTGCAAGCGATCAGCCGCAAACAAGAAAAATGGACCCAAGTTCAGGTTGCTTTTGTATGCAAGACAGGAAGCAAACAAGCAAGCCATCAAAGCATACAAAAATGAGTCTCACCTACATGCAAGCCATCAAAGTATACACACAAGCTCACTGCTCAAATAATCAAGGCTACAAGCAAGTAGCCGCAAACAAAAAGCAAGCAATATTACCAACAACTCATATAACCAAGGCTGCAAGAAAGCAGTCGTAAACAAGCAAGATGGACCCATCATCATAGTCGCAAATCCTTACGTGACCAATCATCATAGCCCCTATCAAAAACATGCTCAGTAACAAGCTCACAAGTAACTACTAGAAAACAAACTGATTTTGAAACAAACTGAATCTAAAACAACCTAAATCTGAAAACAACTTGAATCTGAAATAAACTGAGTGCTGAAACAATCTGAAACAAGTTCACAAGCAACCATTAGAAAATAAACTGAATTTGAAACAAACATGCTCAGTAACAAGCTCACAAGCAACCATTGAAACAAACTGAATCTGAAACAACCAAGGCTCAGGCAAGCAACCATTAGAAACCTCATAATAGTACCAAGGTAGGGGCTCAGATATAGATATTAAAATTGAATGCACGGATTGCCTCACCTAATAATGATGTTGCAATGTAGGTTGCAATCACATGAATGGATTGCCTCAGCTAACATTGTAAATACAATGTTAAGTTGCATTCTCACGCTAGATTGCCCCTACCTAAACATAGCAACATTGTAGATTTCATTCTCATAATATGACCATCATCATTGCCCAAATTGAGCAATACAAAATAGTCATACCAATACATATCATGCAATGTAGGTTGCTATCAAGTATCATATCCATCCATATTTATATAAACCTGCAAAAGAACCCAAGCTCATATTTAGTTTATTCAAAATATGACCATTAAGTATCATTTTCTAATGGTTGCTTGTGAGCTTGTTTCAGATTGCTTCAGATTCAGTTTATTTCAAATTCAGTTTGTTTCAGACCAGTTGCAAAAAATAAAACATAACCTGTCCACACACAAGCAAGTTGAACTCAAGAGCAGCTCAGATTGGACTTAAAACCCATAACAAATCAAGGTTGCAAAAGTAACCAGTCTACAAACAAGCTCATATAACCAGCAAGTAAGCAGCCACAAGTAAGCTCAGACCAGCTACAAAAATTGAAACAAAACCCTCCTGTTATTAAAGCAAGCAACTCATATAACCAAGGCTGCAAGCAAGCAGCCGCAAACAAGAAAGATGGACCCAAGAACATAAGCTCACAAGCAATCATTGAAACAAACTGAATCTGAAACAACCAAGCTCACAAGCCATTAAAAACAATTTCGTCCCCAAATCCAAACAATGGAACAAGAACAATTTCGTACCCAAAGTCCTAAAATCCAAATCCAAGCAATTGAACGAGAACAATTTCGTCCCCAAATCTGCCACAAATATGCATAAAGTAGTGAAATACGCATAACAGCGAGAACGAGATCAAGCAAAAAACCGCCGCCAAAATCAAGCAAGCATCCACCCTCGGTTCAGTACCATACCTGTACTCATTATATTGATCGAAGGAATCAAGCACCCACCCTCGGTTCAGTACCATACCTGTACCACCCTCGGTTCTTATCGGCGGCCATCACCGAGAACGAGATCAAGCAAAGAACCATTCCCAGCAAAATCAAACATAAATTATTTTTAAATGGTCCAAAGCTTAAACGGATGGGTATGGGGAACTTATACGTGAAGCAATCTAAAGGGATTCCTCAAGGCCTCAATAATGAAGAGATGTATATGAAATCTCGTATAAAGTTGAGCCGCAAAGTTAGTCTCATCCAATTTCCTCAAGTACTATCCCTGGTGCTCAAATGTAAAATAGGGTAGCGGGAAATAAAGGAGGCGGGTAAAAGAGGAGGGAGAAAGAACTGAAGCGGTGATGGGAATGGGGGTAGTTAGGTTTTCGGAGGGTGATAAAGAAATGAGCTGGCGCCTATTGTCAGAAATCCAACTCACATCCTAGCTGAAGGAGGGGATTTTACAAATCCTAAAATAAATTAGCTTTTTATGTTTTGGAGATTCAATATCCTAAATTTTTTTTGAAACAAACAAGGTTTATAGAATATCAAAATCCAAAAAACCCCTTTTTACATCCCAAAACTTAAAACCCGCCCTATATCCCAAAAAAAAGTGAAATGAAACAAACACCCCCTAAGAGACACTATTGTAGAAATCACCCACTCTCTCTCTCTCTCTCTATATATATATATATATATATATATATATATATATGAAAAATTCCTCAAGGACCCAAAATATGGGACCAATATGGGAGACATGTGAGGTGTCCCCCTCCGATTGCATAATAAGTTGGTCATCATGATGGTCAGCTCATTATACAATAGGAGTGAGACACCTCACTTGTCCCTTTTATTGGTCCCATATTTTGAGTCAATGTAGCAAAACTCTATATATATACATATATATATAGAGAGAGGAGGGAGATTCTGCACATTCGGTTGAGTTTTGTCATTAATAGAGTTGTTTAATTATTTAATTTTTAAATTAAATCATTGTTTTGATGTGGACCTAGTTGCGTGATTTGCATGTTACCTCTTTTTTAATTAACACAGTAAGAGCTATAAATGTCAGCATAATTAGGCCTACTACATCTGTTTTTCAATTATAAGTAGCTACGTTTAATTTCCGAGAAGTAAATTTATTATCGATTTTAAAGGTAAAAGGCAAAATATGAAGAGTGTTTAACTGTACTAAAATCCCTTATAATTTCTTTAAAATTGTCAAACTAGTGACAATCATATAACTACAGTGTTATTTAACTTCTAAGAAATAGTGAGTAGGACTGTTAATATTCATGAAAATAGGATTCAAGCATCTCTACTAGTTATATCATACTTAGGAATTTAGATTAACATTAATCTTAATGACATATAGTAGAAACATTAAGACATGCTCTTTGCTGATAGAGAGGAAAGGAGTTGCACCTAATATTAATAAATAAATAAATAACACTCTTCCAAAAAGAAAGTAAAAAAGTGATAATTCTTAGCCACTAGAGGACGCATACATGGCAGCACAAATTGACACAAGAATCCGAAGACCCAATTTAAGAACAGAATCCAGAAACGGCCAACAGACCCAAGGTATCAATCAGGTGGCCCATACCACCGTGGCCCGAAGCTTTCAAGTTGAAAGATGGTCCACTATTCAATTCCCTATAAAATTTTGCGCCAAATTAGTTGTTACATTCAGACATCTTAAGTTCGTCTCTCTCTTCTGTTGTGCAAAAATACCCCACTTGTTGTTGAAAACCATGTCGAGGAACCAAACCAATCACCGATCAAAAAGGGCTAAAAGCAACCAAAATCAATTCACAAACAAAACATCAATTTTAACGTGGTTCGGCAATTGCCTACGTCCACGGGGCAAGAAGGGGATTGGGTTTTCACTAGTAGAGAAGAAGAGTACAACTTGAGATTACAAATCACTTGAAGGAACAAACTAATCTCACCAACAAAGCTCTTAATCTCTCTAAATAAACTCTAATCAAATAGCTCAGAGAATATCTCTTTTCTGTGCTCCAAATATCACAAACTTGATGCGGCATAAACATGTACCAAAAAGGTTGCAAGTGCACAACCGTGTCAAGTTATAGTATTTAAGATATCGATCCCACGATGAAGGTGTTTTGTAGGAGAAAATATAAAATTGGTTCTTATTTCGTGTGCGTGACAAATAGGAGTGATGAGTAAATGTGATTGTGGAGAGATAATGAGAGTGAAAGTGATAGTGTGTGAAATGGCGCAAAATTTAAGTGAGAGTGGATGTGACAAAGAATGAATATGATCAATAAGGCAAGAAGGAAAAAGAAAATAAAAATCAAGAATAAAAGAAAATACAAGAAATTAAAGATGGTGGATTCAATTATAGATATGGGTAATCTAAAATTGAACACACTTCTTAGAAAAGAGTGATTCCCTAGAGGGTTCTAGCCTAAAGGTGAATCAACAAAATAAAAATAAAAAATAAAAACTAAACCCAAGAGGGTTCTAGCCTCAAGGTGAATAGTGTAAGAAATTAAAATCTAACTACAAAATAAATTGTAAAATCTAATTACAAAATAAAATTGCAAGAATTAAATGCAAGAAAATAAATCTACTCTATAAGCATGAAATAAATCTAAGGCAAGAGGGTTCACCGGCATCGATGCCTGCATCGATACCGGCATCGATGCCTGCATCGATACCGGCATCGATGCCTGCATCGATACCGGCATCGATGCCTGCATCGATACCGGCATCGATGCCTGCATCGATACCGGCATCGATGCCTGCATCGATACCGGCATCGATGCCTGCATCGATACCGGCATCGATCTTCACATCGATACCGGCATCGATGCCTGCATCGATGCTGGTATCGATGCCCTAATAAAAATTCTGACTTCACGGTTGGCTTCGTCTCATCGAGATAGGCGATTTTCATATATTATATGTTAAATTCCGCCTTCCGGATTGGGAGATATCGTCGTTTTTTTGTGGCCAACCATTTTGAATATGATTTCTTTTCATATTAGATTTTTGATTTTCTCCGGCTTCTACAGGCTACTCGGCTTGATTAGGGGCTTTTGGATAATTTGGAAATTGATTTTCCAATGGGCTTCTTTGCTTCATTTAATCAATTGGTTTTTGTTGAGAAATGAGAGTTTGAGATTTATTCTTCATTAACCTGCAATTAAAGATAAAAACAATTATTAGTAGTATATTTATTCATATAAAATAGATAATGAGGGTATAAAACTGTAATAAAATATGATTATCATCTCTCTAAATAAACTCTAATCAAATAGCTCAGAGAATATCTCTTTTCTGTGCTCCAAATATCACAAACTCTCGCCTTAAGAAATCCTAGAACGTGTATTGGTATTTATACAAACACCAAAACCAAATAAGAACAGGAAACACAAGTTTGGGCCTGACCCGTTACGCGGTCGACCGCCATGGTCGACCGCGACCAACAACAGAACATGGAAAACTCCTACAGGGTCTAGCGGTCGACCGCGACGTCCTACGGGGTCTCGCGGTCGACCGCGGTGGTCGACCGCGCCAAATCCAGACTCCTCCCAGAGTGTGTGCACGTTCGCGGTCGACTGGCCTTGCACCGCGGTCGACCGCGCAGCTTCCAAACAGTTCCTGCGCTTCCAAAACCTGTTCTTTACCAAAAGTTCATCGAGGTTCTTCAATTCTCCACCTCGGCGAAGTTTCTTCCAAAACTGAGCCGACACCAACCAAACCAAATGCCTCACTTGCTGCTTCTCAATCCTCAACAAGTCGAGACCCAAACGGGAGTACGAAAACTCACCCAAACGTCGGTATATACTCACCAAATCGGCTGCATCATAAAGACTGGCTATGTATCCTCTTGCCCAAGGAATCAAGCCTTCACGTAGTTCATCCAAATGGCCTCCAAAGGCCTTCAAACAAATAGAAAAGTCTGCAACTCTTTTCTAATATCGCCAACGGATCTGCAACTGATAGCAGCCCCAAACTGATACAAATCAAACACCTCCATATGAGGTGAACCAATGGCTATATCCAAATCATATCCACCAGCTGCAACCGAATCCAAAATCAATCCATCATCTGCATCCGAATCTAAATGATCCCCGATCTGTGTCACCTCAGCTGGAATCCTAAATGACGCAGTATGATCTGGAGTATGTGGGATAAACTCCACCCAACATGGAGTAGCATCACCCTCCACCTGCTACGATATCCAAACGACCTGATCAACACTCTCCAAGAACAAAATCAGAAGCTCCCAAATGATAATCAAATGAGCCTCCGAATCCCAAACGCGCAATCGGATCAAATCCCACATCATCGATGTGACAAATGCTAGGTAACCAAATATCCGACGTCAACCAAAATCTGAAGCAGCTCCACCATATCCAATAACTCCTAATGTAGCAGTCGGCGACCTATGACTAAAATGACCCAAATATATCAAAACTCCAGAACCAGAACCAATGCTCGACAACCAACGACGATCCTCCTCCAGAAAGGAACGACCCATCGAAACTGTCATCTCATCTCGTCGCCCCAAAGTCTCCACATCAATGAAGTATTTCAAGTTACCATGAGCTCGGCACAAACGCAAGAAAGGACCCCTATCAAAGTTAGAATAACGGTTACCTTTCTGCCAATACACTTCTTCCGATTGTTGTTGACTTCTAGGAATTTACACCAACGGGAACTAGTCGCGACCCAATAATGCCTAGAATAATCACCAACTACGGAAACTACAAAACGATTACCTTCCAATGATGCCTCCTTGGAAGGCCCCCAAATGCCTGACTGAACACCTCCTAAAAGACCCCTCGCTCGATGGATAGAAGTGCCAAACTCCACCATAGTTTTGCTCATCCCAATGTGTTCAAAGGACTTCCATCTGCAGGTCAAAGCACTCCTCAATAACCTATGCACGACATCACCAATCAAATACCCTAGCACCAAACTACGCCACAATCTAGCCAAATCCAATAAAGTCGTCAGAGCTCTATCAATCACCGTGCTTCCAAGCAAATAGTATAAGTTACTCATTCTGACGTCCTTCATCATAATCATGGACCCAAATGTAACCTTCAAACATGCATCCGCTAAGGTCACCCTATAGCCTGCTACCTCCAAAGCTCCAATTGAAATAATGTTCTTCTTCAACTGAGGAACGAACCTCACTCCAACTAACTCCCGAATCACTCCGTCACTCATCCTGATCCGAACGGTGCTAATACCAATGTTTTAAATGTCGGATGTCGGGTTCATGTCGGTCGGCCAAAATTCATGTCGGATAGCGGAAATCGGGGATATATCGGGGGGACATGAAAAAAATATCGGATTGCCATATCAGATAGGTTGATATAATATCATAAATGGAATCTTCACATACTTGATAATTATATTGTCTAAACATATGATTATTGATGTTAGGATCACTAACCAATTGTAGACACCTGATTCCCGAGTGCATATTGACACCATCCGAATGCTTGACCTACAAAATATGAAGATGTTGTTAGTAAACATAGAATAGCATATAAGGAATGAAGCAAGTGACATATAAATTATAATATATAGAATGAAAATCACAAGATTCATATCCATAGAGAAACATAAACAAAGCAAGCATACAACCAAGTTTTCAAAGTTACAAACAGCTCATAATTGTTTAACATCTAATTATCCAAAAGCAATTCCAAAATAACATTGAAACTAAGAGGACTATAATCAATCCTCATCAAAATCAAGAGTAAGAATATCCTCCTCATTCGACTCCGATGATGATGTCTCAATATCTTCTTCCTCATCATCCTCCACCGGCTCCTTCCCCTTCGAAGAAGATGATATCGACATTTTCTTTCTTTTATAGGTTTGCGTTCGTGCACTTTTTCGCTTTCTTGGATTAGCTCCTGAAATGTCACCAACTTGCCTAAAAGTCAAACATTCTCCCGGAAATACTTCATCATCGCTATCATCCCCGTTTGAACCCATCAACCATTCAGAGACCATTTCCTCATCATCATAGGCGCACAAAGGATCTCTATCTATGACAGCATGTTTGTTCTTCAATTTTGCATTGAATTTGACAAAGACGAGGTCATGAAGCTTTTTGTGAGATAATCTATTTCTCTTCTTAGTATGAATCTACAAGTGAAAACATGAATTAGCACAAAATGCTATAAACCTACAAGGCTACAACATAATCTAAATTCAATCATTATTAGTTTATTACCATCTCAAATGTGCTCCAATTTCTTTCACATGCCGAAGAGCTAGTTGTCAAGGCCAAAATCCTCATTGCCATCTTTCTCAATTCGGGAGTATCATTCCCATAAAGCCTCCACCATGTAACTAGTTAATTCATATTTGAAAAAATTAGTAACTTATAAATTTGTAATAGAGGTTAATGAATTAATTTAATATTATAAAGTTACCTGGACAATCACCCTTAGAAGCTCCTCGCTTCGCATATTCATTTCCAAATGACCCTAGACGTTCTTGATAATTAGGTAATTGAGCTCCAATCTTTGTGAAAGTCGCATGGTCATTTGGGAAGATTTTATGCATACAATCTACAAGGGATGTCATGAAAGTTCCATCTTTTTCAATTTCCGTGTAAGCCGGATAATAGAAATATGGATTCAAGTAGTAGCCCGCTTTATGTAGTGAACCACAAAGCTTCTTATTGAATCTTGGCTTAATCATTTTCAATATGGGAATATATTTTTTCTCATCATTTCCAAGGGCTACTTTCAACTCTTCTAAGGCCACCAACATATCTCCATATATAAATCCCATAGATGGGACTTTATCACCATCGGCTCTCCGGAGAACTTTCACTAAAGGATTGAAAACTTTGAGGGCAAAGTCTGTATTGTCCCAGAACTTGTTGCTAGCAACTATCTCAGCAACCTACAAATAATACAAACAATTAAAGAATGAATGAAATATAAATGATGAAAGGAATACTTTGTAGCTATCAATTTTAATTTTTAAAGTTTAAATACATACCTTTTTGCCCGCTGTTGTTCTTGAAAGGCTACAATCCATCCATTGATCAGAGATGAACATCCGCCTCATCTCTTTCTTGTGATCCCTTAATGATTGCAGTGAGAGGAATGTCGTAGCAAATCTTGTAACCCCCGGTCTCACAAGATCACCCTTAGTAAACTCTCTAAACAATTGAAGAGGCTTGGTATGATTATATATAAATACCGATACACTCCTCCCCATTGTAATGGCATTATGAATGGGTTTGAACTTGGCTATGTCACATAACATCAAGTTCACGGTGTGCGCTGCGCAAGTGGTCCAAAATATGTTTTTCCTCTTCTCCTCCAATTTCTTAGAGGCCGCCATATTATTTGAAGCTCCATCAGTGACAATCTGCACCACATTTTCCTCCCCTAACTCATCAATAGCCTTGTCCACAAAGTCACAAATATAGTCAGCATCATGCTTATCGGCCGATGTATCATGTGAAGACAAAAAACATGCCCTCCCGGCAGAGTGTACAACTATGTTCATGATACTTCTAGACTTTCGATCACTCCAAGCATCAGTCATCAAGGAACAACCATTGACAATGCATGTCTTCTTGAAGTTCTCAACAATCTCATTCGTTGCATCCACCTCTCTCTGCAAGCAAGTCTCACTCAACTCGTACATTGATGGAGCTTGTAAATGACTTCCAAACATCCCCACGGCTTGTAGCATTTGATGAAAAGAGGGAAGTGTGGCTGTATGAAATGGAATGCCAGCTTCAAAGAACCATTTGGAAATGTATTGCATAACATCTTCCCTTTTCTTCTTTCTTAGCTTGGAGTCCATCGATGGTTGTTTGCCCTTAGCTACTAATTGGGCGGTCTCTTCGGGAGAACGAGCAGCAAAGGAGTCTATTGGGCCTACTGGCTTGTAAGAGGATGACGAGCTTCGAGTAGTCAAGGAGTTATGCTCCTCCTCTTCCTCCCCTATATGCACTTCACTCAACAAATTATGGATCTTTGTCTCCTTATCCTCCTTGCTCTTCTTTGCATTCTCCAGTATTTCAGAGACTTTTCTTTTAACATCATCAGGGACTTTTATGCACGGTGTGCAATTCCCTCTCTTTCCGGCTAAATGAGATTTGAATCTGGTAATCCCGCCATTGAATGTCTGAGTGCAATATTTGCATTTAATCTTGTTGGTATCGGAGCCAACTCTCTCCCCGTATGCCTAACATGGATCTTTACCGTCCGGTTTTGATGTTGGCGGCTTAGTAGACCCTTGTCCTTCTAATGACATGTTCCTAAAAATTACAATAGACAACAAACATATAATTAGTTTTAAACAAACTTAAAACCAATTACATATTTACAATTCAATCAAATAATTATGCATCATGATTCATGCATGGTGTCACTGATTATACAATTCAATCAAATATTTATATGTTTATAATTTATTAGTTAGCATGCTAATTACTAGTTTTAAGCTCTTTTTCTAATTATACTAATTACTAAATTGTTGTTGCTCACTGACTTTGTTTTTCTTTTTTACAGATTATACTTGAGAGTTAAGTAGCAACGAGCAAGAATGAAGGATCAATCAAATAACAGTTTGAAACAATTATGTAAATAACAGTTTGAAACAAAAGCTATATGTACAACGTTCGCACAGATACATCCATTTGATCGGATCTAATACAGATATTAATATTTGATTACTTAAGCACAGATACATTGACTCGACAAATTATCCGAAAAATAAAATTACTGTAGAAATTATGTCAAAGCTAGAGGGGGGGAATTTTTCTCATGACAAAATCGACGTTGCAGTTAAAAGAGGTCACACTAATAGCACTATTTCCAACTGTAACACTCTTGCTCATGTAAATGCAAGCAAAGCATGACGGATTCAGCGTGAGGAGAGGAATTAATGGATCTCCTTTATGTTTTGAAATTTCGGTCTTTGGAGAATAATTTTGATAAGGTTTCCAAAATAAAAAAAGGGAAAGGAAACAAGAAAAGAAAAAGAAAAAGAAACACGGGGAAAAAAAATCAAACTAGACAAAGATCAAAACTTTCAATTACCACTTACCAGCAAATAAAATCAAACTAGAGTCGGTCGGCGGTCGAGCAAAGAGATAATCTCGCTGCAGAGAAAAGAAGAGAAAAAAAAATTATTTTCAAAAAAAAGAAGAAAACAAGAAAAAAAATGAAAAAAAAACCTGAGTTTGAGTCGGTCGGCGGCAGATCCGGAGGTGAAGGATTCGGCGGCGGTCAGCGTCGTCGGCGTCGTCGGTCGTCGGCGTCGTCTATTCCACGTCGTCGCAAGGAGAAGGAGCAGCTGAGTTGAGGATCGGCTGAAATGGGGGGAAAACCCCTAGCTTAAAACTAATATGGCATATTGGGTCGGGTCGGGTTCAAATTCGACCCAATAAGCCTAAAACCGATATTTAACAAAGTTGGCCGATTTTTGATCCCCGAAATGACGCCCGCAATGTCTGATTTTTTCTGATATATCCCCGCCATGACCCCAAAAACGCAATACGAGTTAAAATCAGCGATTTCGTATCGGCTAGGCAACAAAACCGCAATATCGGCCGCCATGTCCGACATGGCGGTCGATATTTAAAACACTAGTGTTCATCCTATCAATAGAGCATTCATGATCATTACCCATGAGCACGAAATCCCCTCTTTCTAACTCCTGAAAGCTGGAGAACCAATCCCTCTTAGGACAAATGTGGTATGTAGCACTCGAGTCCAACATTCACTCTGTAGAGTAGGCAACACAAACTGACAGCAGTGCAGATAATGAGTAGCCCAAAGAATCTGAATCTGAATCGTTACCACTAGCCTTGATAACATTCACCTCTGAAGTTTGAATAGCTTTCCCCTTATTTTTTTTCCGGCTTGATCATTTAACTTTGGGCATTCAGCTTTCCAATGTCCATCTTCTTTACAAAAAGCACACTGATTTCTATGAATTCTAAGATGTGCCCCTCTAGACTGTGACCTTCTACCTCGGTTTGGACCCTTTGCTCTTGCAACCAATGCCCCCGCTACCGGCTCAATAGAAGTCTCATTGTCCTTCTTCCTGAGTTGGTAATTTACTAATGCAGCTGTGACCTCACTATATGAAAGAGATGCCTTCCCATTAATAAGAGTAAGGACAAACGTCTCATATTCCTCGTCGGACAAGGAACTCAACAATAGCAACGCCTTGTCCTCATCTTCAACAATGATATCTACATTCACCAAATCTGTAAGAAGCTTCATGTAGTGGTTCATGTGATTACTAATGGATGTCCCTTTCTTCAATTGGAAGCGATAAAGCATCCTCTTTAAATGCAAGCGGTTTTCGACGACCTCCCAAATCTTCTTAGCTGAAGTCTCATTCATCATATCATATTTTAGATCTTGAGTGAGACAAGACCTAATCACACCACACGCTGTCCGATTCATCTTTTTCCAAACCTTCTCATCAATGTCGTCCGGTTTCTCATCCAACTCCAATGTATCTTCCAAATTCTGCGCATTGAGCGCATCCAAGACTTCGCATCGTTAAAGTCTAAAATTGTTAGTGTCATTGAACTTCTCCACGTCAATCTTCATCGAGTGGATACTCAAACTTTGGACAGTCTTCACACCTGAAGAACCACCCTCAACTCTCTCTTTCTCGGCCATAATCCTCAACACACCAACAACCAATGCGGAAACAAATGAAGAATAGATCCAAATCTGAGAAAAGAAAGAAGCTTTACCAAAAAGATCTCACCTTTCTCACCAACTGAAACCCTAGACGAGCTTCCCAAAACGATCTACTCCTCCAAATAGCCCAAGCGTAGCCCGAGCTCTGATACCAATTGTTGTGCAAAAATACCCCAATTGTTGTTGTAAACCGTGTCGAGGAACCAAACCAATCACCGATCAAAGAGGGCCAAAAGCAACCAAAATCAATGCACAAACAAAACACCAATTTTAACGTGGTTCGGCAATTGCCTACGTCCACGGGGCAAGAAGGGGATGAGGTTTTCACTAATAGAGAAGAAGAGTACAACTTGAGATTACAAATCACTCGAAGGAACAAACTATTCTCACCAACAAAGCTCTTAATCTCTTCAAATAAACCCTAATCAAATAGCTCAGAAAATACCTCTTTTCTATGCTCCAAATATCCCAAATCTTGCCTTAAGAAATCCTAGAACGTGTATTGGTATTTATACAAACACCAAAACCAAATAAGAACAGGAAACACAAGTTTGGACCTGACCCGTTACGCGATCGACCGTCATGGTCGACCGCAACCAACGAGAGAACATGGAAAACTCCTACAATGTCCGGCGGTCAACCGCGGCGGTCGACCGCGACAAACGACAGAGCCCAAAAATGTCCAACAGGGTCTCACGGTCGACCGTGGCGGTCGACAGCGCCAAATCCAGACTCCTCCCAGACTCTGTACACGTTCGTGGTCGACCGGCCTTACGCCGTGGTCGACCGCACAGCTTCCAAACAGTTCCTGCGCTTCCAAAACCTGTTCTTTACCAAAAGTTCATCGCGGTTTCTTCATCTTCTCCGTCACCCAACTTGTTATCTACACGCACACCAATAAAATGATTCATGTCTTATCGTTTATAAGAAAGATGGTTACAAGCATTGGGAACATAAGTGTACGTCTCAAATTATTACTAAAAGGTTGTGAAAAAAAGCAAATTCACATAAAATCCAGAACATATTGAGCTGACGATATGACATGTGAACAATACATGATAACATGACAAATATAGAAATAACAACTAGGGGTGAGCACGGTTCGGTTCGGGTCGGTTTTTACCAAAATTTGAACAACCGAACCGAACCATCTACAATTCAAAACCGAACCGAACCATTACAAATCGGTTCGGTGCGGTTCGGTTCGGTTTGTTCGGTTCTAACTTCATCAAGTATAACTTTACTTCAATTTATCTTTTATATATTATTATTACCCTATGCGAGCATGTATTTGTTTTTTAACTTCACTTTCAATTTATTATTCTTACTCATGTATGTATACTGTTTTTAAGTGAAGTAACTTGTCTTTTTGGATTAAATACTAAACTCTGACGTTGTAATTTTTTAGTAACGGACTTGCTTTGTCTTTGTGTAGCAAGCTTTGACTTTGGTCTTTGTGGAGATAAAAAAAGGAGTTGACTCATTAGAACATTGGTTATGTATGAATCAATTCCCTGCAACTGCTATTCATGGTGATCGAACACAACAATAAACCCACAAATCAAAGACACAAATATATTCGGTTGGTTCGGTTCGGGTCGGTTTGAAAAATTGTCAACCCAACCCGAACCGCCTTACTCATAAAACCGCTTTTTTCGGATCGGTTCGGGTCGGTTCGGGTCGGTTCGGTCGGTTTTTTCGGTTTGAACCGAACCGTGCTCACCCCTAATAACAACTATAGAAATCAGTAGATCACAACAATCCCATAATTTTTATTCTTGAAAAGTCAATAGCACTCGGATAAGCCTAGTCATTAAAGCATAGCTTGGTAAGGGGTTGTTTGGTTGTTGTTGGTAAAGTTGTGTTTTTATGACACAACTTAGAAAGTTGTTGTCCACCTCATCAATTTCACTTTTATACTTTTCTTTGTTTGTTTTTGATTCCGTTGGAATCATAAAACACTTGTTTGGTTTGCAAAATGAAACTTTAATTGTTTGTTTGGAAAGTGTAAAAAGTGGTCCCTACACAAATGATCATATTGGTTGGAATTATTTTTTATTATTTTTTCCTAACTTCAATATTAGCTTTCTCCTAAAATCATGTCTTTTTTTTCATGAAATCACTTTACAAGCCACATCAGCATATGAAATCACTTTACACTATTTTCACAACTACAAACAAACAATTGAAAGTGATGAAAGCTGACATTGGGACCCACTTTTTTACACTTTACATCCTTTTACATGGTAAAAACATACAACCAAACAGCCCCTAAATCAAGCGAATTAGTATGACACGTGGACAATACATGACAAGGTAGACAAAAAATAGAAATGACAGTTGTACAAATCAGTGAATCCTAGCAGTCCTACAATTTTTGCACTTGTCAAAATCAACAGCATGCTTTTAACCTTGATCGTTATAGTCCGGCTTGGCGAATCAGTCAAATATTCGTAGAGATGTTAAATGGGTGGGTATGAGTTTTAAATGGGCGGGGCATAAATGAGCGGGCATGTTTTGCCCATTTACCCATTTATGGCCCATTTAACATTATTTAAATGGGCGGATTTTTGCCCGCCCATTTAATAAACGGGTCGCCCATTTGCCCATTTGCCCATTTAACTATAGCTAACACACTTTAACATATTTACACCACGAACATGATTAAAAGATCATATTTACACATAACTGTGCTTTAAACCATGTCTCTAAACATTACCGTGCAGTTTTTTCAAGATCTACATAAAAAACAACAATATATTTTTTCCCCGGCTAAGCGAGTAACAAGTATATAGACTATGAAAACATAGGAGCAGGGATTTCATTCCAGAGCTTGGAAACTAGGGGTACGTTCTGCCTGTTTCAGAAGCAGCAACACTCCTCCAATACACAGCAGCAGCAAAGGGTAGCCATACTGCAACAATGAAACAAAGATCAGAATACATGACAAGGATAAGTTTTGAAAGAACAAAATTACTTATCGTCCACTACAGTCAAAATTCATCTCTCGAACATGGTCATGGTAGAGGATTTACGCACAACAACCTTATCGAATTTGAGAAGCATCCAGCAGGAACAGCTTCAGTTAAGCAATGCATACCTATAGTAAATCTAACATTTGGTAAATCAGAACGCACTGGCCAAATTGACAATGCTGCGACTGACAATAATCACAACGCAAGGAAACAATATAAACATATTACAGAAATCAACCAAAATAACTGCAAGATTGCATTTAACCGGTGCAGCAAAATATTACAGGCAAAAGCCTACCTACAGAAGATTAAAAAAAACTCCCTAGAAATTTTACCATTTTACCCTCCAAGATATAACCAGAGGAGGAAAATGTTCTTCACTATATATCTTCACTATGTAGTAGCATAGATGTCTTGAAATAAACTCAGAGAGAAATACGCAAAGCCAACCACATGAGTCACGACTCGGTCAGAAGTAAACAAAGTGAAATAACTTTTTGAGCAGTTTAAAAGAGGTAAAAGAGCCTGACACATATATAAACTGATTGAATTCTAATCTGCCATAAATTTGTGCAAGAAAATATAGAAAATAATGAAGATAGTGATGTAAGAATTAAAATGCGAGTTCAGTATTTGGAAAGTGATCGCCAGGGATTTGTTTTTCTCAGCAACAACCACAAAAACATAAACTTGTGCCATGTAATGCATCTACAGAATTTCTATATAAAAAAGGTTATGTGCCATATTATGCACGCTTAAATTGCAAATTGTCAAAATTCAAAAATGGCAACATCCAGGGGTCCTTTTACTTCAGAATTTCTAACTTTTGGTAGGAAACATAAACTTGTGAGAAATAAATACATATTAAAACAACAATCAATATTTAGCCAACAACATTAGAAAAGCAAGTTTATGATGTACACTAATTTCATGGAACAAGTAAAATCTTACCTTAATCACTTTCGCCTTCCGATTCAGAAACCTCTAGATTACTGAAATCATGTACTAATAAATTTCCTTCTTCAATGTCTGCCAGAGCTGCATTTAATAAGAAAAAATAATATTAATATTTTGTGATAAAATATGTAGCCCACAACAATACAAAAAAGCAATAATGGAAAAAAAAAGAAGGCAACTCACAAGGAATACCGTCTAACCAAGAACCAGTACAAATTTGAGCTTCAGCATTCTCCGGAAGAAGACGATTTCGATACTTGTCAAGCACACGTCCCGCAATGCTGAAAGCCGATTCAGAGGTCACCGAAGTAATAGGAATACTTAATATATCTCGAGCCATCATCGACAATTGAGGACGCTTCTCGCATTCGCCTTTCCAATACTCGAGAACATTCAAATGATCATTTTTCTTCCAACTGACTAATTTTTCATCTAGATACTCTTCTAACTGAGACTTGAACCTACTTGCTAAATATAGTTGACTCTCAAACAGTTCAAACTCAACCATCTCATCATTAGGAACATCTCCAAAGTTCTCTTCACCACTACTCCCAGCTACAGATGTATCTAGAGATGCTCGCTCATATTCTTTGTAAAGCCTTCTCAGTTTCTCTAAGATAGTCAACACATAATCAGAACTAACTCCCAATTTCTTAAAGCAAAACTCTACATACTTCACCTTGTATCGGGGGTCCAAAATGACTGCAAATGACAAAATAACACTGTAGCATTCCCAATATTTATCAAATTTTATTTTCATGTCATTTGCCATGGATTTTATATGTTGATCATCACTTTTCATCTCCTCCATTATGCATTTTTGAATCTTAAACACTCCACCAAAATATAAGTTGGCAGTTGGATATTTACTTCCAGAAAAAAGAGTGGACACTTCATAAAATGGTTTTAAAAACTTTGCAATTTTTTCAGCCTTTACCCATTCTTCACTTGATGGCAAAAAAGTGAAGTTTGGATCAATCGACTCTAAGTGCTCAAATGCTCGACGAAAGTTTAGAACACTCTCCAACATTAGAAACGTAGAATTCCACATGTTGGACACATCCTGCTAAATTTTTTTCGCTTTACCTGAATAAGTTTGTGCAATGCACTCTGCAAACTTCTTTTTTCTTCCAGGAGGACTCTTCACATACTTGATGCATTCTCTTATCTTAGACAATGATTTATCAATAACCTTTAGCCCATCTTGCACAACAATATTTAGAATATGAGCACAACACCGCACATGCAAAAAATCACCATTACTAACAAAATGATCTTCTAAAACTGGATGATATTTTAAAATTCTCATGAAAACATCATTATATGATGCATTGTCCAAGGTAATAGTAAAAATTCTTTTTTCAATACCCTAATCCTTCAACAAATGAAATAACTTCTCTACTAAAATTGCTCCACTATATGGGGGTGAAACATGAGATAGAGCTAATATCTTATTCTGCAATATCCAACAGTCATCAACATAATGTGCAGTGAGAGACATATAGTAGTCAGAGGTGGAAGAAGTCCATAAATCTGTGGTTAGACAAATTCTACTAGGAACTAGCTTTAAAGCTTGTTTAAGATTTCCTTTCTCTTTCTTGTACAACTTGATCAAATCTGTTTTAGCAGCGTTACTTGAAATATGCTTGACTTCAGAATTTAGAAAACTATGCAACTCATGGTTTCCTCGATGTTCGACAAAAGTGAATGGATAACCATGCAATGCAATTACTCTAGCAAGCATTTTTCTATATTTTTCTTGATTTAGTGGCATACTTTTCCTGGAAGAATCAGCCTCATCTAAGTTCCTTTTCGGGCAAGAATCCATGTGTCTCAACATTGTCTTAGTGCCATGACCACCAACATAAATATGATTGCACATATTACATTGAACTTTAGTTTTCTCATCATTATCGGTAGATAACTTCGTAAAGTGATCCCAAACTTTTGATGTTTGTCTTCTTTTACGTTTAGAAGTACTCTCATCATCACTACCATCATCATGGATGCTAAATTGATCATTTAAAGACATGATCGCTGAAAAAATAATTTAATAGCACATCAATTTTGGTAGTAAACACATAATACAGTGGAATATAAATTGACTCAACATGAAAATAGATCTATATATGTATTAAGAAATGAAAAACAATCAACATGTAACATTCTCATGCCACTTATGCCAATAGCTAATAAGGTTGCTATCTGTACAAATGAATGAATGGAAACTTTCATTACTAAAATCAAGTATTTGTATCTATAATTCCTTTTTTAACATTCTTATCTAGAAAGTAGCTAACTAAATTGTCCAGAAGGTAATGAGAATAGATTTCAGTTGGGATTCTTCAGCTAAACAGTATGAAGAATTATATCAGAAGGCTGTAGCTAGAGCAAGGGCAGCTGCAACTCGTGTATAAATTGTTACATTTCTCTGCACCATACTAAGAATTCAACATAAGCAAATGTCTGCTTCTTACCAATGTCACTATGCATATGAGTGACTATGGTAGTTAGGATTCTGCAGTACAATCTATAGTAGCCGAAGAGTAAGACCAATGTCACGGGGTTCATTGGTTCATAATACAAATAGAGTACCAAGAAAAATCACCCAGTGAGAGAAGTTCAAAGTTCACAGGGGTTTTGTGAGACAGCCTAAAGTTCAGGAGGTTTAGTAGAATAAAAAAAAGTTCAAGGGGGGTATCCACAACACTCCCAAAGTTCAGCGGAGTTTTCTCGGGTCAAAAGTAGTTGAAGGGGATTATCTACAACACCCCCAAAGTTTTTTTTTTTTTTGGTTTTTTTTGTTGGGGGTTCTGAAATTATCCCTTAGAAATACAATGACATGCGTTTTGGACAGTGCATAACCATGCTAATCTCTAAAGTCTGAATCAAGTCCATTAATTAAATGATTATAACCTTGATCAAGTATCTAGCTATCTCAAATTCTCAAGCTTTAAACATAAAAATGCCGTGAGAAAAAAACTCATCATTAAATGAAATTGCTTTCGAATTTCCAGAATTATATTGTTCCAATCAAGAATTTACATTTCCCTATAAAGATTTCACGAACAGGATAGTAAATCAAGTGAAACCCTAATCAACAAACAACAAAGCTAACACTTTAAACTAATAACCAAAGAAAAACCTCATCAACTTCTTACAAATCGTTTTCTTCTATTAGATCAAAGCCCACGATTTCTAATTAACATCCGAAAGAACCCAAATCAATTTTAACAAAACACGTCCAAAATTATAAGAAATATCATGATATTGTAGAATTAAAAGTATTTTCACATACGTACCTGATCAAAGCGAGAAAAAAAATCGCGACTGGCGACTGGCGACTGGCGACGGAGGAGGAGGCGGAGGAGGCTCTGGATTGGAGACGCGGTTGAGGCGACTGGCGACGGAGGAGGAGGCGGAGGAGGAGGGATTGAGGCGACGGAGGAGGAGGCGGAGGAGGAGGGATTGAGGCGGCGGAAGAGCTCTTAATTGGATGTAAAATGCACCCGCCCGTTTAGACCCATTTAATTAAATGAGTGGGTTTTGGACGGGCCAAATAATGGGTGGGCTAGATGGGTAAATGGGTATGGGCATAAATTGCCTTCCCTAAATATTCGCTTCCGATCAAACAGGGCAACACTTTTTGGTGCAACCAAAATACCTAATACGAGTATGAAACATCTCCTAAAAAGAGAGGAAGAGAGGCAAACATGGAGACCTAAATCTCTCTCCATAAACGTCTCTTTTCTCTCTTTTTCTTTACGAACTTGTTATGCGCAAAACTAAAATAATTCATCATCTGATCCCATGTGAGGAAGGTGCGTACAAAAGAAGTTAACATATGTAGCTAACTTTTGTCATACGAAAACGCATGTTATCTTTAAATTAAACGTTGAAGATTCATGCAGCCAGATATCTTGCATAGTTCCAAACTTTGTGATGTGTGAAGTTATAAACAGACTATTTACTCGCATATTGAGATCTCAAGTCCTCATCCGAACATCTCTCTTCCAGTTGTTCCTATCATCTGATGCGTCGCTTCGGATTCTTGCGCATTGCACGGGAACAAACAAGTGCAAAACTTAAATGAGCAAATTTAGCGTATAAACTTGGTACATAACTTGACCCGAAAGCTTTTGACAACTAGGCCCGTAGATCTAACACCGTTAAACAGCGGTAGTAATCAGTGGCAGTTGTGTAATAATAATAATAATAATAATAATAAAATAGACCAATAGAAAATAAATCCCGGTTTAGATAAACGTGCAACGCAGAAATACGAAAAACGTGTGGGAGCAAAGTGTTAAATTTGCGCAATCGTCAAACTCTATGATCGGTGATTGGGACAAGCGTAAGTTGCCTTACTTCTTTATGTGTCCCCTCCCTATTACATAATAAGTTGGCATGACCAACTCATTATGCAATAGGGAGGGGACACCTCACTTGTCCCCTCCATTGATCCTATATTTTAGGTCCCCGTAGCAGCACTCTTTCTGCACACGGCCCTTAGGATACAAGAAACACCAATCAAGATCAAACTTAAAGTCATGGTTCTCGCGAAAATTGTGTGAGAAATGGTTTCGTTCGAGACAAAATAAAAAATAAATAAATAAATAAATAAATAAATAACGCATATTATTGACTTTGGACCTTCTATCTATGCATCTAGATATTTTTCTTTGTTTGAGCTTTGTGCGTACAAATCCGTATACAATAGAGCATCTTGTTTATGCGCTTGGTATATGCAATAGGAATAAATTTTCCTTCGATTTAGATCACGAGGACACCATAACTTCCAAGCGGGATATATACGTATAAAAGTGAGCAATAAGAAATTATTATGCAACTTGGGATGTTGTTTTTTTTCTTCTTTATTGCAAGTTCTCGCAAACTCATGTCAGTCAGTACTCAATGTCCTGTTTGCTGACTAAATACAGGAAGAAATCACAAAAAAAAAACATGCGGAAAAAAGGTCATTTGCAATCATCTCCGTTCGATCGTTGAATATTGCAACATAACAACGATTGTAATGTATAGCAAAGCAATCTTCATTTTTCTAAACATTTAGAGACATCTTATTTGTTCTCTTGCACCTATATAACATAGAACAAAACATTCAAAAACAATCGCAGTCAAAAGAATCATCAACTACAACTACCAAAACATTGATCAAGAAACCCTATCTATTAAACCTCGACTCCAGGTAGAAGCAAGCCGATAACTCCTCTTAATCTTCCATCATATCGTCAAAATTGTCTATGCAGAGCTAGGACTTATCTTTCTTTTGATAACTCTTTTTCTTCGAGCTTTAGGTGCTGAGGTCTCAGATTCTCCACTTCCTTGTTTGATGCCAAGTAAGCCAAGGCCAGAGATGATCGCATTCTTGGAGATGAACCAGTTTGGGGATGATCGGTCAGTGGCATTAGTGTCTGGATTTCTGCTGTAAGCATTTAGCAGGTTTTCTGATTGAAGAAGAGGGTCTGCTTCTATCCCGAGCCAAGCAAGTCTTGATCTTTCACCAACTTCAACATTCAATATTCTACAAGTAGATAGAAAATGATAACGATTTAGGTTAGGGTTAGGATTAGAGATTCCATTTCCCTATAGTTCATGTTACTAGACGAAACGGAATTTCAGTGTCATGCATGTGTTTATATTGTTACATCGATTGAATGTCAGCCAGGAACATAGATGTGCTATTATAGGCCTGATGTGTAAGCACTTGAACATATACATTATGAATCAGTCTATAGTTGAAAACAGTAGGTTAATTGCAGATACACCCCTATGTTATAAGGGTGCAGTCAGTTGATACACCCCCATCCTATGAGGGTGTAGTCAGTTATAGCTCTAAACCATTTTGTTAGCACTTGCACCCCCTGAATTTTTGACGGTATTATTTTCCATGTAAGGTTTAGATGTCATCAATGTTACAGAAGGCACTAGGCGGACTAGGCGTTTGAGTCAGCACCTAGTGCCTAGATGCCTAGGCGTATGCCTAGGAGGCGCTTAGGCGTTTGACTATTTTTAAAATTATTTAATTATAGTAATTGATAAAAATATGTATTAAATTCATATAAATTTATAAAAAAATAGCAATCTTAGATCCACAATAAAACATGCAAACTTAAATACTAAACAGACAAATTAATATGAATATAGAAAGCACTAGGAGGCCTAGGCGCTGGACCCAACACCTAGAGCCTAGGAGGCTTTCTTTTTTATTTTTTAATTACAATAATTGATAGTATATGTCAATGTGATAGAAAGCTTAGGTGTCAGACTGGTGTCTAAGCAGATTTATTTCTTCATTTACATGGTGGTCAAGAAGGTTTTGCTGAATGTCAGAGAAGGTAGTGGCGGTGTTCATATTTGAAGGTTAAAGGAGTTTGAAGAAGGTTGGAGGACGTGAAAACTGTAACACAGAAAGTCACGATCAAGGCGTAAAGGGTGCAGTCCACATAAGCAGACAATGCTCACCTAAATACTTACAAAACCTAGATAGGCAGCCTAGATACAGCCTAGGCGCTAGTTAGGCGGCCTAGGTACCACCTAGGCCTAGGCGTACGCCTAGACAGACTAGGTGGAGGCTTTTTAAAACAGTGGATGCCATTTGGGAAATCATGATGCAATAAATTACCTTTGTCCTCGAATTAACTGAAATAATGACTAAATTGGCCTCTAAATTGAGCGCAGAAAATTAATGTTGTCTAGGACTCGAGAGATGTAGGTGCTAATAAAAAAAGTTCAAGGGATGGCTGCCACGGAAGTACAGGGAGTGTATAAAAGTTTGGTTGTACTTTACATTACATGGACGTGATCTGGGATTTATCATCACATGAAGTCTTGTTGAGCAAGTGGAAAAACAATGCACTCTTCATATGATGGCTAGATATGCTGGCTAAACTATTTTTTAAAATCTCCTTGGTGCGGTTGAGGTATTAGCATGACATGAGCATATCAAAATAGACGACGATCATCCAGACATTCATTAGTTTGATTCACTAGAATCAGCAATTATTAATGACAATGATCCGATATCAAGGGAATATACGGCAATTTGTCTGCACAATGTGATTAACAATAAAACATTCAATCAAAAAAATAATTCAAAATCTCCCGTCTTCAAATTTCCATTCGCTACTACTGCTGAAAGTAGTGCTAGCCTATTTTCTTTGCATGTACCTTATAAATTACACAATAACATCACTCAAATGAACATGAAAATCGATGCCTTCCAAATCACCTTTTATGCTTAATCATGAGCAAGTCGCAATTTTCCAACAGATAAACATAAAATGCGAACAAAGTACAAACAATATATGGATAGTAGCTCTCCACTGTGCTAAGAGCGAATAATTATAGATAAGTTTTAAAAGAAGCAATACGTTAGCAGCATATAAAGGTTGAGGAACTTGCCTCAGTGCTATCCTGAAAGCTGTCACCACGCCGAGAACATCAAAGTGATTAAACATAGCCCTGTCAAACCCACATAACAGCTGATATCGCATGTTTGCATAAAGCCCTAAGAAGGCCCCATAGCCAAGAGCATTGGTACTCACAGATGGAATGGTCACTGATAACCTGCAAAACATTACCATTATGGTACAAGATGACGGTGAAAGCTTTAAATAAATTTGAAGAAAGGGGTAAATTTCACGAAACCCCCACTGATCTTTGGGTACAACCTCCCATCCCATCCCAAAAAAAACATTATATTTAGAGAAAAACCCCTCGAACCTTCAAAATTATACAAAATCTCCCTGAGCTATTGGAAATTGTCATAAACTGATATCAATCATTAAAAAAAACCTTTCTGAGTAAAAGTAAAAAGGTGCACCAGGCCACAATTGTCCAAAACTCATCATGGTATTAAAGTGAAACAAATTCAAAGGAGAGCTCTCTAATATATAAAGTTTAGGGGTTTTGTGAAATTTACTCTATAAAATAACAAAACTATATCCTTGAGAGAAAATGAAGATATTTGGTATGCTAACCTTCCCTCCTTTTTGGCAGCTAGTGATTTTGTTAGAGCACCTTGGACTGCTCCTGCACTCATTCCTAGAAGACAAAACTCTGCAGCCTTGTAGAAGAATGAGTGTACTCTTTTTTGCAAATCAAATTCTCTCATTGGATAACTCTTTTCAAAAATATTATTCGGAAGCTTTTGTATTGTATTTTGCAAGTCGAAACGGAATGTGTTCCCATAGGAGCGACAAGGTGCAAGGGACCAAACAACAATGGCATTGCATGCTGTTACAGTCAGGACATTTACTAGAGCCAAATCCCACTCTTGTTTGATCCTGAAAACAGAAAAAAAATTACAATATGAGAAAATTTCTGTATGTAAGATGAATTTTCTATTTCTATTGTAATTACAAGAATACCTCTCCTTCCGATTCTTCACCTCCCAATGTACAGCACAACCAATAGTGGCTGCCTGCTCTAGTAGAAGTTGGTATAAGAAAGAAGGATCAGCAATCATCCTGCACAGAAGATCAAATAAAATAAGATCAAGAGATGGTTATCTACAGATGTTAATGAGCATCGGAATACTTGCTTCATAGGAATCATGATACAAGAATTATGATCAGTAGCAATTGGGCCACAAAAATAACCCCCTTGATGAAGAAAATAATTTAAACACCATCTATTGGCTAATATTTACTGTGATTAAGATTTCTGATGGGTTATTAAAGTAGTTATACAGATAAATTTACTTTTGCCAGGGAAAACATACTAAAAGTCTTCTTGTTAGAACAATTTATGTTTAACAATGCAACCCCTCTTTTAGTTCATCAGTCAGATTTACAAGCTTCCCACCTTTAGCTGGCTTTGGGCTTAAGCCTTTTTAAGTTACTTTAGTTATACAACTTTTTTTTCGTTTTAATTTTTTTGGGTTTCCATCTCTATTCATGAGAATGGGCAGATAGATACCTAAAATTTTTGGGATAAAGGCTTTGACGTTATCGTTTGTGTTCTCATTATTGTTATTCTTGTTGCAGTTAGTCCCATCTCTTTTTCATTAGTTTTCTTTGAAAATCAGAGTTAATGCTTCTTTCAAGATCAGTAAATGATTACCTGAGATTTGTTCATATTCTAAGAGGATCATTGTCAACTTTGAATGATAATCCACAAATGGATTATAAGTCAAGTGAATTATAAAACAAAGTGTTCGGTAAATTTACTAGATTATAATCAATTTTTTCAATAGGAGAATGTTTGGCAAATGGGTGACTTATAAGTCATTATTATTGTCAACATGACCAATAAAATAAAATCAAAAAGTAATGGAGTTGAAGAGAGATAAATGGGGTTCGGACTTTTAAGAAACTAGTATAGTGCACGTGCGTTGCACGTGGACATATTTGTTTTATGTTCTAATACTTACACAATTTATTATTTAATTAATGGAAGAGTTTTTATTTTGAATGTAATTATAACAACATTGAGGACTTATTTGTAATTTTCTTACAATTTAGATCATATACTTCTTTCAATCTTCTTAAGATTTAATTTTTGAACTATATAGGGGTTTATCTGTAAAAAATTATGAAGTTTCAGTATTTTTCTATAAATATATGAAAGTAAAAAATTATGAAGTTTCAGTATTTTTCTATAAATATATGAAATTTCAATGGTCTTTGTGAAAATTATGAAGATCCATGGTTGTTTGTGAAAAAATTCAGGGTTATTTTGTGAACATTGGCAAATCATGGAATACCCAATACAATTTTTTTAATCTTAAAAGACAGTTCTATATACTTTATAATTTAAGATAATGAATGGCATTTAATAACTGCTAGTAGTTTTATGTGCAAATTTAGAATATAGTTTTAACATTAGGGAGGTTATAATATACTTATTATATAAAAAAAATTTACCCAAAAGACAAAAATTCCAAGTTTGTTCTTTACTTTTATGTTAAGTGTGTCATGCTATTCCAGTTTATATTAATTATCTTTATTTTTGCTAATCCATTATAACAAAATAAAATTCTCACTTTCACATTCTCTCTCTTCTATTATCATATAATTAGTAACATGCTACAAAAAATATATCTACTAAGTTCATGGATAATATAATATTTCTCTCAAATCACAATTAAGTACATAGTAATAATTAAAAAAAAAGAAAAAAAAACTCATTACCCCCCCCCCCCCCCTCCACAAAAAAAAAAAAAAGACCTCAAACTTTAGTCTCAATCTGAATTCTCCACATTTCCTTATATCAATCGTATCCTCAATCCGCATATAACCGTCAGTCTAACAATCACATCAATATAAAGTATAATCCGAGTAAAGTTCAGTACTTCCTCAGCACAACTTCAATCGTCTTCACCCCCCTTGTCGTTATCTCTTCTAAAGGGATAATGTTTTCACTAGCGAGCTTGTATCATCCAAATAATATCATAGTAAAGTCATGGGGTGAGTATAAGATGTTGTTAGGATTGTAAGAGGTGAGTGTTAATCTAAATCATCAAATGAGTGAATTTATATAGGTTGCAAGTAAGGGCTATTATGATAAATAAAAAAAGCAGACTCTTTGGATTCCGTAATAGCCAAATGTAATTGTCACTTAAATAAAAACTACAATTGAAAATATAACTCTCATTTCAAGTATGCATGAATGCATGCACTAATGGCATTTTAAGTTGACACTTTGTTTGCAAATTAAAACGTATATTATTAGTTTGTCATATGTGCGTTTTAAGTGGAGGGGTTACAAAAAAATAGAAGTTAATATTAGTGGACAATTAATAGGAGAGTTATACCATTATTAAGCATGTATGCATGTAAGCATTTTAAGTTGACACTTTGTTTGCAAATTGAAACGTATATTATTAGTTTGTCATATGCGTGTGCATTCAATTCTCAGCTATTATGTCAAATACAACTTACAATCTTAAAACTTTTTTATGATAACATTAATATTGGATTAGTGGAGTTGTTACAAAAAATAAAAGTTAATATTAATGGACAATTAATAGGAGAGTTATGTCATTATTAAGAATATATGTATGTATATGTATGTGTTTATATGTATGCAAATTTTTTATGATAACATTAATATTGGAGTTAGTGGAGGTGCTACAAAAAATAGAAGTTAATATTAGTGGACAATTAATAGGAGAGTCATGCCATTATTAAGAATGTATGCATGTATATGTATGTGTTTATATGTATAAAAGTATGTGTTTTATGGATGCATATATGTGGTTTGGAGGGCATTTTTGGAAGAAATGTTTTAACATACCAACACACTTTTATAATAATATTAGATTAGATGATGAGGGGTATATTGGTCTTTACACAGTCAAACCTTGTGACTTATAAGCTAAATCACTTTGACATGTTTGGAAAATGGCTTATTTAGATTATAAGCCACCAAAATATAAGCTAGAGTACTCCAACATATTTTTTTGGTGGCTTATAAGCTAAAATAAGTCATTTACCAAACATATCAAAGTGGCTTATACCACAAAAGTGTTGTAGCTTATAAGCCACTGACCACATGTTTGGACCACTTGCCAAACATGCTCTAAAGGTGTTTTTTCCCCCATCATTTGCTGTGGCCTCTAATAAATGTGTCCCAGCACCTCTCGCGACATACATAAGCGAGGCTTGTATCCATGCAATATAAGAGAAGAAAAGAAAGAAACAAACACAACCACCCACCCAGCAATACAGTGATGCACGCTAAGACACGCACAGAGATACGCATCACAATAGACACAAAAAACACAAGCAAAAGGAGGAGGAAAACCGTACAAACATATACACAAACACTAATGTAGCAGCCCCTTTAGCTGGTTTTAAACTGAACGCAAGTCCATCCACTAGGAAGACACTTACGCTTGAATCCCCCTTTAATTGGTAAAACAAAGAGTCATGCATGTTGACTCTCTACGTGCATGTTGACTTCTAAGTCCTATATTGTAATGTACTATCTTCAGATTCTCCTCTCTATAAACCCAACCATGGGCATCTTCATTTATCAGTCAGGTTGTACTCACATTTAAGTCATATACTGGGATATGATAAAAGTTAGTAGCAAAAATTTAACATATCTATTTCCATATGGTGCTCAAAAGTAAATCAACAGGAATTTGAGGAGAATTCTAAGATATAGGATGTTTGACAAGAAGGCTAGAAGTTAGTGTCTTTAAAAGTAGGTAAGAACCTTATAAGGAAAATAATGAAAAGATATTACATCTACCTTTCAAGAACTCAAAATTTCTAAACAACTTAAGGTTTAGTACTATTATGCTGTAAAATTAACTAAACTAATTCTAGTGTTTGATTCTAGTAAGCTACTGTAATAACTAATAAGCTAGGAGTTGAAAGGAAACCCACTCATGCCAGGCTATGTCCTTTCATTCAAAAGTATAAATTCAAATAAGCGTTTATAAATAAGTGATGTGTTTATAAAATAAAAAAGTGTTTATAAATAAATAAATAGATTGACTTCATATTTGAATGTTTTCCATAATACAAAGTTCAACTAGCAAAAATAGTTACCATTCCTATTTTTAAAATGAATAAATAAGTATTGTAGAAACATATTTAAGTTCACTTTATACATATAATAAAAGCACCTAAACTATAGAAAATGTACTACTCTCAAATATGTGAAAAGTATGACCTCTTATCCGTGGATGTTACCTTCCAATGAAACCTCTGGATAAAGATTGTGGAAGAGCTCGAGAGATGGCCCTAGATACTGTGGGTCTTGCATTCACTGACAAGAAGCGGACCATTTGAGCAGAGCTCACCAAACCCTATCAATTAGGTTAAACCTTTAATCAACATGCAGACTTTAGATTCATTTATAAGAATGGGGACAAATGTATTACCATTTCATAAGCTTGGCGAAGCCCAGCAGGCAGATCCACCATGGTCTTGTACCACTCCTGTAGAACTGCATCTACAAACTTCTTGTCGAAAAGCTGTCAAAAGTGTAGAAAGGTTAGTACATTTCTAAACTTTGCAAATAAAAGTTAACATTAGCAAGTTGTCAACCTCCTGTAGGACAAGACGCCGTCTAAACAATCCACCTTCATCTCCTTCATCACCTTCATCGAAATCACCAAAGTAGTCATCGTCATCACCTCCGTCATCACCTCCATCACCTCCACCATGGAAATTTTTCTTTCCAATATCTCCACCTCCTCCACCAGTTGCTAGCTGAAAATATCCAGAACCATTAATGAAAAGATAGTCTTATAACTTCCAAGAATAGAAATATATATATAATCATCTCATCTTAAATTAGTTAAATATGCAACACTTCGAGAAACCAGGCTAGGTTTTCTATGACTCTAGATTAAAATGTAACACACTATAAAATCGCACAATGGCCATTTTAAGGTTCAAAGTTTAAGTCCTGTAATTTACACCCTTTAAGCCAGTAAGCTCAATGACTCCCAAATATTGAGGTGCTAACAAACAGATCCTAAGGCTAAGTTTGGAAAGTGGTAGCATAGCGACTTATAACTTCACTATACCTGCTAAAAGCACTCAAAATATTTAGGATCCTTTTACTCCACGAATCTCATACCAATATCAGGGTTATAAGCAATATCTTGTCACGGTACAATTGACATCCAATTGTTTGTTCCCTCACTACTACTAATTCAGTTTTCAAAGTAGAACCTAAGAAGGCGGAGCAATATGGAGTTAAAAGGCACAAAAAACAGCTAACTTATACACTCTCATGCTGATCACTCGAAGTGGTGGACATTCTAAAGTTCCTTGAAAGTCTTTGAAAATCGCCCATTTGGATTTAACTTCAAAATTATCTTTCAGCTTTACATATTATATGATCCTTGAAGTAATGACAAGAAACAAATCTCTCTACCAATGATTTAGGCAAGAACTGGTTTTAGCTAGTATACTAGCCACATCCAGAGCATAGAAAACATGTTCCATAATGTGACATACTGTGTTATGGAATGAAATGCTGCCCTCCTGTTCAATAACGTGAGGAAAAATGTTGCTTTGTGAAGTCATGCTCTTTCAAAGAAACACAGTACGAAATGTGTTTTTGTAATTTTCCTCCCCCCCCCCCCCCCACCCACCACACACACACAAAAAAAAAAAACCCGCGATTTAATTTTCTGTTATGGGTAAATCTCAACATCCAAAGAAACATAAAGGCCTTCTACCATGCGGGAAAACCCTAGTCCCTAATTTTCATCAAGAACTTCGACTTCTCACCTCCACACAACTGCTCAAGAAAACCCTAGAACCTCATGATGCTGAAGGAAGACCGAAAGACGCCAACCACATTCCCAACCATGGTTTTAAATATCGGTCGATAATCCGATATTATCGTCGAGTTATCGGATTTGGGAGCTTTCCGCTAGGATAAGTAGGATTTTTAATCGGTTATCGTTTTTCGAAGTTTATCGATGAGTTACGGCGATAAAGACACTTATCGGCCGATAAGTAGGCTCTAAATATCGGCTTTATCGGCCGATAAGTAGGATTTGAGAGCTTTTATTTTCTTTTGAATTTGCTCTTTGAATGTTTACAAATTATGAGCTAATTGTTGCTTTTGGAACTTGGTTGATTGGTGATTAGCTAATATTTATTTATAGATATTGATAATGGCTCATAACTACTAAATATCAACTTAGTAAGTTAGTTTATGAATCTTATGATTAAACAATAATTATGTAGATGCGTAGATGGTTCTTCATTCTTGATGTTATCTTATTATTTGCTTGTTTATTATTTTATTTTGACTAACCTTTTTTTTTTTTCAAGCTTATATTTGTTTATTATTTGCTAGTGTATTACTCTGAAAAATACTACTTATCCCCGATATATCCCCGATTTTCGCTATCCGATAAGGATTTTGACCGTCCGATAAATCTCCGATAACCGGCATTTAAAACCTTGTTCCCAACAATAACAATGAAAGTTCTCACCCGACAAGTCCTTTCTACAAGGAATCGTTTCCCAATGACGAGTTGACAATGACATTCCCACGTGTTTCGTCCCTCTCCAACAATCTTGATCTCTTTGGGTGAGATCTATCTATTCACTACTGCTATTTGTATTATTCTTCTTCAATTAGAAGCTACTTTCTGCATTAATATGTTTATCACAACATTTTTTTTCATAATCTGTTCATTTCAGGTTGTCTCTTGTATGTTATGTTAGAAATTCCAAGCAATACTTTCACTAATACAACACCAAAGTACGACTAACGATTAACCTATGCATTTTTTTGAGTTGAGATTGAGTAGACTGTTATTTAACAGTTTCACTTAATATAGTTTTGTGCAAATCCCTAATTTCTTATATAGGTTCGAAACGTCTTCTATTGTGAAAAGTGTAATTATATATTTGAAATTTTGATTGTAGTGTAGGTTGATACCATGTTTCTATTTATTACAATCGTTGTGAATTTTTTCTATTTATCTAAACTAAAAACAATAAAACACGTACCTATGTCGTGGCATTATGTGGTATCGTGATTTTACACCATCAGGAGACGAGCGTTACATTGTGTGTTATCATTATATTCAACATTGTCTACATCAACCTCTCCCGACCAAATTTAAAATTGCATTGTTACTCTTGTCAAGAACCATGAAACTATTAACATAAAAACATAATCTGATCAACTTTCAATACAGATAACAAGGCACTGTAAAGAAAAACCGTGCAAAAAATACCTTAAGTACATACATTTCTACTTCCAAAATGGTACGTAGATGTCAAATTTCCACCTTCATCTAATTTCATGATCCTTATCCCCAAAAACTTCCTCATATCCAAAATTCTGCATAAAAGACGTTGCCTTGTGAAACCCAACACTAAACAAAATGCCATTTCTGAAGCCCTAAGTACTACCAATGTGCATATGTACCTAGGAGCTAGATCTCCGCAATCTTCCTTGTTCTGAGTAAAATTAATTTCAAATTGACAAAAAAAAATTTATATCCATTCACTTGGGAAAAAGAAAACTAGAGTTTCATAAAAAAACCCAGGATACCCATTTAAATCTCTACCAATAAACATTAAGTCATAACCTCACTCAAGTCAAGTTGAGCTAAACCCACATAAAATCTCAACCCAATGAATTCACTGGAGTGCCAAAAAAAGAAAGAAAGAAAACTAGGATTTCCTAAAATTCTCCAAAAATAAACTAACCTCGGGACTAGTCCTGGTGGTCTTCTGCGTCATATCAAGCTTGGACTTCTCGAGCGTCACCGCCCCAAACGCCCCATAATCCTTCTTCATCACCGGCCCCACCGTCGTCGCCGACTTGGTGGAGGGGCCCGCATCGGTCACCGAGCCCAAACATCGTTCTAGAAAGTGGGTGGTCCCCGAGGACTTCCGCCGAAGAGAGTGATCGGGCCCACGGCGGCGGAAATAAAGAGGAGGGCCGAGACGAAATCAGAGCGACAGCAAAGAGGGCAGAGGTGGCAGGGTAGGGTTCTCAAAGAACCTAGAGAAGGAAAAGGTATTGGTCAGATGGATTGTGAGATATTATTGGCGCGAGCGGATGGGGGAGGGAAAGGCGGCGGAGCGGATGGCGGATGGAAAGACGGGCAGCGGCAGGCGGAAGCCATTAGCCTCTGTTTCTGCTGCCGGCGCGCTTTCTGCCTTTGACGACCAACCGCGCTTTTTGTGAGAGAGGTAGGAAGATGATAGAGTGAAGGGGAGTTTTGTTGACTCGAAAGGATGATGATAACTGGGCCATGGAAGGCCCAGAATGATAGAATTGGGCTGCATGGAGATATGGGCCTTGGACTTTCAAATGGGTCCTCACCATCTGTGTGTGTATATATATGGATATGTTTGATACCAAGCACAAATTTTGTGCTTGGTAGTGAGGTGACACAATCCCTTCAACTCATTCAAACGAGGAACCACATTCACAAGAGTTGAGGAGTGCATAGGGATATGCAACCATTTGAATGAGTGGAGAGGATTATAGATTGTTTACATCCTTAACAATAGAAAACAATGAATAATTTTATAAGAAAATTTTATTTGATATACACCATTGAGTTTCAATCAACCAATGCTACCTATATACAGATGACATGTGACGCCCCTGGGTTCACACAAGGCTGCAGTCCAAGGTGAAACCAAGAATGTCAAACCTGTCATGCACCACACCATGCAATAACATGTTTCACCATCACAATTACTATCTCTCTAGTAGAATCAATAAAAGGTGTAGGTACAAAAGCAGGTAAAAGATAATACAGAAATCCACAGATGAAATAATAGAGATCAAATTGATATCCCATCATCTAGCATACTGAAGTACAAGTCAATGTCTGAAATAAATAAAACTGAGGTACTCAACAAGTCTCAAATACAGAAAATATCTGACAGGAGCAAATAAGGCACACAACCTTTACAGCTTCTAGAATAAAACTCTCATATGTCTAAACAAAAGTCTACAGTGGAGCTCAAAAGAAAAATACAACTAAATAGACAGCTGAAGCTAAAATGCATCGCCATCAACCTGTGACTCTCCGGACTCCTGGATCGTTACCTGAAAGGGGGAGGGACAACGATTGTCAAAGCGCTAGCGAGCAACATCACAACCAACCCTAAGGGATAGGGTTCGTTGTAAATAAAAATACAGATTAACACATAATAATATAAAATCATTTATCCTAACAATAATGAGTTTTAGTACTTAGGAAATTACAACACGAGCATAGGTACATCGAGCGAAATAATCCAAACAAGGAAACTTTCATGTATATACCTTGTATCTCAAATTGTAAGTCTCTAAGTACCAAACCCGGAGTCTAATACATGAACAATAAAGAAAAGAAAATGAACCCATCTCTACCGATAAACAAAGTCATGTCAAAGCCACAATAAGTGTCATGACCAGGTTAGGTAGCTATCATGTCCCAACTTCATAAATATGTCGTGCTCCAAACTTGGTTGTGTATCATGCTCAAGGTTTAGCAAATGTCCAACACATGGACTAAATGATAAGCATGTCCAACACATGGACTGAAATGATAAGTGTCCAACACATGGACTAAATAGCAATGTATGTCCAACACATAGACTATAAGTAAAGAGGTGCAACTGTCAAAAGTATATGCGAAAAAATATACATATCCTAAACTCGCACGTGTCTCGATGTACAGATCTAAACTTGTGTCAAAAGTCAACTCACATGTACAGATAAATCACTAACATTGTAAACTAGTGTCAAATAATCGAGGCGACCCCGAAATGCAACTCAAACGGATCAAGAATCTGTAAAACACCTCACCAGTCGACTCATGTGTCGACTGATGAAATCAGTCGACTCATTGGTCGACTGATAAGATCAGTCAAAACAGCCTCAGCTCACCAGTCAACTGATCGGTCGACTGAGGAACTGAGAAAACAAAATCAGCTCGTCAGTCGACTAATCAGTCGACTGATAGCTGGAAAAATTCAGCCCGTCGGTCGACTGATCAATCGACCGAACGGCTGCAAAACCTGTTTGTGCAGTTGATTACATGCAATACTATTTATCTAAAATCATCATCATAAATCCCAAGCATAAAGATACTGATTTTAACATATATGTACTAAACTGAAATGAAATTTCACATGTAAATACATAAACAAAACCCTAAACATATGTATTCATGCTTTAAAAACGTTTTGAAAACAAAACTCGTGTTTAATCTCTCATTAAAACATTACAGATCTAGATCTTTGATTCACAAAACGTTGGTGAGTTTTTAACATTCTGAAATAACATATCTTCACATTATATGCTATAAAAATCAAGCCTTTGTACACAAAAAAATACATTTTTGGCTCATCAAAACTCATAAAAAATCATTTGAAAACGTTTAGAAATATGGGACAAGGTTGGGCGAAATGTTACTCGCCTCTGGGTGTTGCAACACTCCTAGATCTGCGAGAGTATGATTCCCCTTTGCTACAACGATCGAAACCCGCTAAAAATCCTTTGAAACGCCCCAAAAATCGCCAAGAACGAACCTAGGGTTTGAGAGAGGAGAGAGGGGGCTAGGGTTTCTCAAATCTGATGATGAAAGTGGGTGTTTTTCGGGTAGGAGAGATCATATATGAACAGCCAGACCCGACCCAAAACCCGAATCAATCAGAACAGACCCGAAACATGGAAAAACTAGAAAACAGCTCGTCAGTCGACTGATCGATCGACTGAGCTCGTCAGTCGACTTATCGGTCGACTGATCTGGTAGTTTCCTGTTTCGTGCATGTTTCGCTTATTTACAAAACTAACGCACAAAACTCTACACACATACTCTCATATCATCTCAAATAACTTGTTATCATGAACATCTATGACCTCAAGCTATTTATCACAATAATTCACATATATACATAACAAAGAAAAATACGGGGTTTTACATTCTCCCCCTTAAAAGAATTTCGTTCGCGAAATTCGGAAATTATATCTAAACAAATAATAATATTCTAGACCAGCATATAACAATATTTATACTTAACGATCCACGATGACCATATTCCCACTCAACCCTTAATCAAATAGAACTGGTACGTCGGACGAAAAATCCAAACAAGGAACCCCCCATATATATACCATATGTTCCAAAAGGTTAAGAATTGAGCGGAAATATCCTCATTCTAGTGTTAAATCTAAATATAATCACACACATACTCATGCGTATCAATCAATTCACTTCCTCAATAAATGCAGGAAGTAGCGCTACATATCATCTTCGCGCTCGAGAATCATCTTCGATGTCTACACTTAACTATCAAAAATGTAAATACCCCCACTTAACCCCTAACTAAATGGAACAAGTACATCGACCGAAAAATCCAAACAAGGAACCCCTCATATATATATCATATGTTCCGAGTATTTAGGAGATAAGTGGTAATACCCTTATTTTATTGTTAAGTATAAACGTCGCGACGCATGTGTGGATAGTCGCGACGCATGTCCTCTTCGCGCTCCTAAGAAATCTCCTCAACGCCTCTTCGGTTCCACTGAACTTTCACCAAAGGAATCACCTTGTTTCTAAGCCTCTTGTCCTCCCTGGCAAGTATACAAACTAAAATCTCAATAGTAGTCAAATCCTCCAGAAGTTCAATCTCTGGTTCATCCAATACTCGCTGCTGCTCCTCATCATGCAAGTGTTTCTTGAGCATAGAAACATGAAATACATTATGGATACTAGACATCGATGCTGGAAGATCTAGTCTGTATGACACAGCTTCAATGCGCTCCAAAATCCGGAAGGGTCTAATATACCTCGGTGCAAGCTTTCCCCGTCTCCCGAATCGCTGAACGCCTTTCATAGGTGATACCTTCAGCATAACTGAATCTCTGACCTGAAACTCCAAGGATCTTCTTCTCTTATCTGCATAGCTCTTTTGCCGACTCTGAGCGGCTAAAATCCTATCTCTGATCAATGCTACATTCTCAGTAGTCTGCCTCATAAGTTCTGGTCCAAGCATTAAGCTGTCTTCTGGCGCTGCCCAACATATCGGTGATCTACAAGGTCTCCCGTACAGTGCCTCATATGGGGCTATACCGGTCGTCTCTTGGTAACTATTTGATAATCACATTTTATTATAGTTTTATACCCTCATTATCTATTTTATATGAATAAATATACTACTAATAAGTGCTTTTATCTTTAAATGCACGTTAATGAAGAATAAATCTCAAACTCCCATCTCTCAACAAAAAACCCTTGATTTATTGAAGAAATGAAGCCCATGAAGCCAAACAATTTATTTCAAATATTTAATGAAGTATTAAAGCCCAAAATTGCCAAGAAATTGTCCAAGGCCCAAGCCCAAGAGGAAACTCAAGAGGGATCTGCGGACAACAACCAAGAAACAACTGACATCGATGCCAGCATCGATACCAACAGAGTCTGTTATGCTTCAATGGCTGAAAATCAATTGTTTTGGATAAGATTTTGATCCAATGGCTCATATTCACTGATGTTTACTATAAATAGGGGTAGAGAATGAGGGGTTAGAGGGGTGAAAATTTTTGTAACTCCTTTTGGAGAGGAGGGCTACTCTTAATTGAGAAGACCTTCTAAAATTGTAACTTTTGTTGCAATTAATAATAATAATTTTTTCACCACTTTAAAATTTTCTCTTCTTCTTTTTGTTGGATGATAAAGATGAAGATGAAAATTAATTTAAAGGTTTGTTTTTCTTATTTCTCTTTTATTGCTTATTAGTTTAGATTTATTTTCATGCTTATAATTAGATTTTATTTTCTTGTTAAATAGCCAAGAGGCTAGAACCCTCTTGCCTTAGATTTATTTCATGCTTATAGAGTAGATTTATTTTTTTGCATTTAATTCTTGTAATTTTATTTTGTAGTTTAGATTATGCAATTTATTTTGTAGTTAAAT